ACAATGTGCCATGTGCCATGCTAAGTGCTGGAGATACAAAAAGAGTCAAAAGGCAGTTCCGACCCCTGAGGACCTCACGATGTAGAACTCAAGCAGCTGAAATGTCATCCCTCCATCAACACCTCCCACTATAATATAACTGGCCTGGAGCAGTTGGTGCTAAGACAAAGAGAACTAAATTCAGTCCTGCCTCTTTGACTATTTTCTCAGGCCTTATCCTGAGAAAAAGACTACTGGTCGATCGTTGCATTTCTGTTATATGATCAGAAATGGAAAGGCTTCTAAGAGGCTGGAAGATCCTGGCAAGGCAGAGTGCCCACCACCTCTGGTTGTCTGTCTCTCTTATCAGAACTACTGAGCTACAGTGCTGGCAGCTTGAGTTGCACCCCACGTAGTTAAGCTGGGACAGATCCTGGAGAGCCATGGTGGTTGTGGTGGAGATCCTGAGTCGGGGGTGGGGGCAGGAGAGGGTGGGCAAAGTGTTGGTACCTGTTAGAGATATCATAGATCAGACCAGTGGGACGTGAACAGGACTGGCAGTTGCTATGAACCCCAACAGTGATGAGGCCAGGTGACTAGCACCAATCCCTAGTGCCTCTCCCCTATTTCCTCCGATTGTTGCAGCCAATGCCAGGAAATTTCAAATATACAGCTTCTTCCCTCATCCCTAAGCCTTCTCTCCATCTCTCAGGTAGTGAGGGTGGTCATGAGGATTGCAGGTGTAGGTAGGTGATCACTCCCCAGAATAACTCTTAACAAGCATTTTACACATTTCCTTTGTACAATAAAAATGTGTATGGTTACAGTATGGATTGCCTGAGAAATGGTAGGAAATATCTGGGAGAGAAGAGAAGCAGGGTCGGAAAGGGCCTAGTAAGGTGGATGGCATTCTAAAGTCAATTAAAAAAAAAAGAAATTATATGGAAAAAATGGAGCAAGGTCAAAGAGAATCTCTGGGCACTGGTAAGCCAAACAGATTTCTGTAATTTGAATATTTTAGAACATTATTACATTTTCATTCCCTTAGGTCAGGGGTTCTTAACCTGGGGTCCATTGACTACTTGGATAGGTTTCAGGGGCTCTATGAACGTGAATGAGATGAATTAATCTCAAGCAGGGATTTTTTAACTCTGTGTGTGTATATATATATGTATGTGTATATATGCACTCCTATCTACATATACATATATATCTTTATTTACCTAACCTCTAACTGAAATGTAGTATTTCCTTTCATTATGATTTTTTTAAAAACACCATTGATTTTATCAGACTGCCAAAGGGTCTCATCATACACACACACACACACACACACACACACACACACACACACACACGGTTAAAAATCCCTGCTGGAGATTAATATTGAATATATATCCCAGGAGCCTTGTGCTGAGCCAACTCAAAGGGAAGGCTGGAGTGCCCTCTGGTGATCAGTGAGGACACTGCAGCCTTTAGAAGGCTGTTATTGAATGTATCATCCCCTGGTGGTCAAAATATATATTACACTCTTAAGCTTGTAAATTAGTGAGTAATTAAATGACAACTGGCTTTTCTGTGGGTGGCAGAAAGCAGAGCAGTGAGCCAGGTGTGAGTTGGTTTTGATCCTGCAGCAACACAACTGTCCCACTTTCATGAAAGAGAGGTCTCTGGTCTGAGGTCACCTTGTCCAGTAGAAGGATTCTCATTGCCTTCCCTTCTCCCCCTGACATTCTGAAGAGTGTAGTCTATGGCCCCCTGAGACACTCAGAAGATGAAAAAGGTTTGTCTGGGCTCAATGAGAGCAGCTTCGTTGGGAGTCTGCTCGACCCTGGAGGCTTGGGGCTACTGAGTTCCTCTGACAATCCACACTCACCTTGGGGACTGAGATTATGTGATACCGGGAGGAGGAGGAGGGAGTAGAGGTCTCCTTTGCCAGGGGCTTCTGGCTCCTTCTTCAGTCGTCCAGACTATGAAGCCCCAGCACTTTCCCCAGGGAAGGGTAATGTGTGAACTCAGACTTCATACTGCTCCCGTTGCTGGCAACATTTACAGCCATCGGGTCCTTTGCTTGAACATTGAACAGACATATGGGGGGAGTCTCAATAGTGTTTTTATTATTCTTCTATTTCTTATAGTAAATGGACCTAAACTGTAATGCCAATGTGCCATGCTTTGGGGTAATACAAAGTTGGGATGGATGTAAGAATCCTTCATTCATTCATTCAACAACCTTATGTTAAGTCTCTACTTTGTCCCAGGCACTGAACTAGGTGAATGGGACATGACCTATTTTGAAGTCTTCCTGGACTATGTTCTGAAATGGGGAGGAGGGAGACAAATAAGGTTTGAGCCACAGTTGTAACAGATTTGTGAACTATTAAATGTGACTTGAGGGCAGGTAGGTGGTATAGTGGATAGTCGGGCCTGGAGTCAGGAAGATTCCTCTTCCTGAGTTCAAATCTGGTCTCACACACTTCCTGGCTGTATGACCCTGGGCAAGTCACTTCACCCTGTTTGCCTCAGTTTCCTCATCTGCAAAATGAGCTAGAGAAAGACATGGCAAACCACTCTAGTATCTCTGCTAAGAAAACCCAAATGGGGTCATGAAGAGTTAGACACAACTGAAAAATCTGTGACTCATCCTTTCATATTTGTAAAACCCTAGACTAAACTGTAGGAGAAACTGGGCCAGGGTGGGGTGGGGTATATTTGTCAGAAGTAGGGCAATTTTCTAACTATCCTACCAGAAAGGTGGGGCAAACTTCTCCTTCTTCTACCTACCTTTAGCGATAGTGACTAAATTCCCATTTCCCTCGGCATGATCATCTCTACATGAGGATTTAATGAGATAATGAGCATGAAAATATAGAAACGAGAGCTATTATTAGGACAATACCGCTTGGCTTTGTCTTTTGTCCTCAGCTCCTGACAGAGCTCTCCTGGGTCCTGAGTAAAGATAGTTTGAGGGGACAAGAAGGAAATATTTCTAAGGCAGAGGACTTGAAGCTAAAAGGACCATCTAGATTAGCCTTTTTGCTGTTATTCTCCGCGTCTAGAATGTTCTTCCTCCTCACCTCTTTCTCTTAGAAGCTCTAGCTCCTTTCCAAGGTTCAGTTCAATTGCTATCTCCTATAAGAAGTTTCCCAGTTTACATTTTGTTTATATGCTATATGTTACCTATCTGTAAACATATTTTTCCCCCAAAGAAGAATGTAAATTCGTTGAGGGCAGAGACTGTATCACTTTTATATTTATAGCTTCAGTATCTATCACAGTGCCTGGCACATGGCCATTTAATACATGCTCACTGATTGCTTGAGCAATCCCCTTCACTTTTCAGAGGAGGAAATTGGGTTTCAGAGAAGGGCAGACAGATGATGGTCCAAGGAAGTAGGCTTCTTCACCTTCGTATGTACTTTGCTCAGCCCCCACCAGCCCCATCCCAACTGTGACTTTGCTCCTTGGAGCAGGGCTATCAGACCATCAATCAATCAACACGTATTAAAGCCTTCTCTGGGGATGCAAATACAAAAGGTACCTCTTTTCAGGGACCTTGCATTCTACTAACTAGGGGGATACAATATATATCACTGAGTAGTGGCCAGGGAAGGGAGCTTTGAATCAGCCAGTCATAGCCACTATGAGTTGACCCAAAGGGTAGTACTTTCATGTTCTTTCCAAGTAGCCATAGGAATACTGCTTTGATGGTTGTTTCCTGAAAAAAAGAGGTAGAAAGCTGGATATGAAGGGAGCGGTACTTTCTTTGGAGTTTGGGTGCACACACTTGACTTTTGTCCTGCCACTGGACCTTGACTCAGGAAGAAAGAGTGAGGCTGACGACTTTGTGTAATCCTGCCTCGATTAAATCCAATTCATGCACAAGTAAGACATTATTGGTGATGTCACTGGTCCTCTTTGAAGGACATACGAAAGGTGGCACAAACAATACCAGGAAGGTGGCAAGATGCTGCCCAAGCCTCCTCCACTGGGGGTCCATTTCAGTCTTCTTCCTCTCTAGCTTCTGTTCCAAGGGGTTGCAGTTTCTTCATCAGTAAAATGGCGCTAGTAATACTTCAACTCTCAACCTCATGGGACTACTATAAAGAACATGCTTTTTTATTGTTTGGTTTTTTATTAATTTATTTTGATTTATCAACAATCACTTCCATAAGCTTTTGAGTTTTAAATTTTTCTCCCCCTCCCTCCTCACCTCCCTCCCCAAGATGGCACAAAATTTGATATAAGCTATACATATACATTCCTATTAAACATATTTTCACATCAGTGATGTTGTAAGGAAGAATTAGAAATAATAGAAGGAACCACAAGAAAGAGAAAACAAAACAAAACAGAAGAAAAAAAATCAAATAGTATGCTTCGATCTGCATTCAAACTCCATAGTTCTTTCTTTGGATGTGGATAGCATTTTCCATCATGAGACCTTTGGAGATGTCTTAGATCCTTGCATTGCTGAGAAAGGCTAAGTCTATCAACGTTAGTCATTGCACAACGTGGCTGTTACCGTGTACAACGTCCTCCTGGTTCTGATCACTTCACTCAGCATCAGTCCATGCAAGTCTTTCCAGGTTTTTCTGAAGTCTGCCTGCTCATCATTTCTTATAGCACAATAATATTCCATTACATTCATATACCACAGATTGTTCAGCCATTCCTGAATTGATGGGCATCCTCTCAATTTCCAATTCTTTGCCACCACAAAAAGAGTTGCTATAAATATTTTTGCCACTTGTATGATCTCTTTGGGATACAGCCCTAGAAGTGCTATTGTTGGGTCAAAGGGTATGCACATTTTGTAGCCCTTTGGGCACAGAGGAACATGCTTTTTTAGGCCTATAGAAATGGAAGCTATAATTTTTATCATTAATAGTATTATCAAATCAATGGGGCTCTGGACCCTTTATTAAGAGTTTATTCAGAGGCATCTAGGTGGCACAGTGGATAGAGCACTGGCCCTGAAGTCAGGAGGACCTGAGTTCAAATCTGATCTCAGACCAAACACTTAACACTTACTAGCTGTGTGACCTTGGGCAAGTCACTTAACCCCAATTGCCTAAAAAAAAAAATTTATTCAAATGAAATAGGAAGAACCCCAGGTCCCTAGCCTTAGCTGAGCAGGAACTCAGGAGGCTGGGTGCCCCAGCCTGAGCACTGTCCTCCCCAATGATGACCTCACTCCCTGGTATGGCAGGTAGGATGGGGGCAGTGGTCATTTCAGTTGGCTCCGTCAGAAATCTAGAGGAGACAAGATAAGAAATAAGTTGAGGAGAAAAAAGCTCCAGAGATGGAGCAGGAATAACTGTATACTCCTTCATCCTCCCTTTTTCCCCCCTTTTGGATTCCCCTTTGGACCATACCCTCCTCTGCTGCAGCATCTTCTCCATCATCTTCTCCTACTTCTCCATACTCTGGTTCCGGCTCCTCATACCACTCTGGAACATCATTGTTTTCTGGGCTTTGCGGCTCTGGCTCTTCCAGAACCTCATTTACCGACTCGTTGTCTCCTGGGCTTTGTGACTCCGGTTCTGGATCCTTTGAAGACTCTTGGTCCTCAAGAGTGTCCAATTCTGCTGCCTCCGAGACCTGTGATCTCTCTCCACCATCAGTCTTATCCTCATCTGCAGGGTTAGGAACCCCAATGCACGGACCCCCAGAGGAAGTCTTCCTCTGGTCATCCACACAGCATGAGTCATGACTCCTCTGGTGATGATGACTATATCCTGGGTGGCGAGTTGGGGAAGAAAAGAAAAAGGTGATGATGATATACCAGTCTATCAGTTCCCTTCCCACGCACGAATCTCTCTCCAGTTGCACCCCTTCCCCCTGCCCCAGCCCCTTTCCCTTCTCTGCTCTTGCCTGCTTTGGAAAACTTAACCCTACCCGTTTCTCCCAGGACCTCCTTACTTTCTGTTGAGGGGGACTGAAGGAAATGCAAGTTTCCTTGATTCATAAAATATCCAAGTTGCAAACATGTCAGAATATGGAATATTCCACGTAGAAGAGACCTTAGATCAGTGGTTAGAGTGCCAGTCCTGGAATCACGAAGACTTGAGTACAACTCCTGCCTCAGAAATTAAGCAGCTGTGTGGCCCTCGGCACTTAACCTTTAAACTTCAGTTTCCTCATCTGTAGAATGGGAGTAATAATACCTCACAGGGTTGTTTCAAGGATTAAATGAAGTAATATTTGTACAACGTTTTGCAAACCTTAAAGCTCTGTAGAAATATTAACTTTTTGTATCATAGAATGCAAAACGCTAAAAGATTCTTTGGAAACTAGAATGTTAGAGCTGAAAGGGACCTTTAGGCATTAAATGCCAGAAAAGAGGACACGATGTCAGAGGTGGAAAGGGTTTGAGAATCTGGGTTGTTAGAAAAGGAAAAGGCCTCAAAATGTAAAATACAAGAACACAGAATGAAGAATGTCAGGGCTGGAGAATTCCTTCATTTTATAGATAAGGGCAGGGAGGAGAAGGAGTTTGGTTAAGACAAATTCATGGAAGAATCAGGAATAGAATTTAGGTCTTCTAGGATTGTGGAATTTTCAATGAGCTGGGATTTAGGGGACAGGTGGGACATCTGGTCCATGATCCTCATCTTAGAAATGAGGAAACTGGGGCAGCTAGGTGGCACAGTAGATGGAGCACCGGCCCTGGATTCAGGAGGACCTGAGTTCAAATCTGGCCTCAGACACATAACACTTACTAGCTGTGTGACCCTGAGCAAGTCACTTAACCCTGTTGCCTAGCCCCTCCAAAAAAACTTAAAAAATGAGGAAACTGAGGTCCAGGAAGTTAGCAGAACCAGCATTTGGATCCAGGTCTTCTGACTCTCAACAAGCATTCTTTCTGCTATTTATTTGTATCTGAATCTTCCTTCTCTGTTAGAATAAAAGGACCTTGAAAGCAAGTTCTCTGTTCCTTTGTATGTCCTCCAGAGCACTGCACCCAGTAGGCACTCAGCTGAAAACCTTTCCTTATGCTTTGTTGAATGAATAAATGTTGGATGGCGGATACTGTATTTGATCCCCAGGTCTTTGTATGACCTCCAGTCCCTTCAGTGGGAGACTTCCACTCCGAAAGAAGTTCTTCCACAAAGAGAAAACATAAATACCAATGATCTCGAGAAGCAGAACAATGTTAAGATAATTTACTCCTAAGATATTGTTTTCTCTAACCTCTAACTGAAATTTAACACTTCCTTGAATTATGGATGCAGGTAACAGACATTCTGAGAAAGGGGTCCAGCAGCTTCACCAAGCTGCCAAAGGGAAAGAACCCCGTTGCTTCACTGTGAGGAAGGCTAAGAAGAGCAAAACAATACTGGAGGAACAGCCTTTCCAACCACAGTCTTGTTCCCTTGGGCAGCTGGCCAGGGGAAATCATGAAGTGGTGGCAGATCCTCCATTACCGGTGACAAAACCAGCAAGATACAAGACATCGCCTGTCTTACACCATCAGGGGTTGGGCTGGGCTGGGCTGGCTAGTAAACACCGTGGGCTGGTAACTGCCAACCTTGTCTGCAAGCCTAGCTCATGGTATGGGGAGGAGGAGTTTGTGCTGATTTCTCTGACCTGCCTCCCTACCATAGCTCTGTGTTCCCTGACTGTATGCTCAGGGTCTCTCCCCTCTTTCTCCATCTCTCATCTCTTCCTTCTGCCCTCTTGCCTCCTGTGCTCTCTTGAGACCCTGCTTACCCTCTGGTGTGAGCCTCCAGTTCCAATAAGGGTCTCTGGAGTTGTCAGGGTGGATCTCAGATGCACACTTCAGCAGCTCCTGGCAAGCAAACTCCCCCTTCTTCTGGACTATCAGGAGTATCCGGCGCACCACGCGCTCAGGGTCGCCCATGGCATCCAGGGACTCATATTCACTCCCGGTGATGACGCCTCGAGCCATCAGCCCATCCAGCAGGATGCCCGAATCGTTTTTGAGGACCTCCACCAATTGTTTCCTCTCCCGCTGGATCACGTCTGACGGCCGTTCCTGGACGTTGCCCATCCCGAATGAGGAGGAGTGTAGAGGGAAGCCTAGAATGGAGCCGTTTCACACTCCCAGTACAGTCTATGCCCCAGCCCACTGAACACTTGCTCTCCCATCCCCCCACAACATTTCATTCTCGCATATATCCTACTACTTCCTAAGCCTCAGTTTCCTCATCTATAAAATGGGGGTGTGAATACCTTCTCTACTTATCTCAGACTTACAGTGAGGATCGAATGGAATAAGACGTATTTCTGTACTTGGATATTATACTAAATGTACAAATGAATATTGTACTAGATTGTATACTTGTGATTTGTGAATATTATTAGCCCCTCACTTGGCAACCACACCCTCCTTACCCCAAATCTTCCCTGTGAAGAAAGAGTAAAGACTACACAGTCCCTGCCCCAAAGCATCCCTCCAATTATTTCTTCCGCCATTAGGCTTTTCCAAGCCCTAGGAAATGTGACTTCCTCTCCAGCCCTTGACTTTCTAGGCAAATCCTGCTCCATTTAATTCATCTCAAGTGGGGTTAACCAGTCATGTCTGTGAGTCTTCCTAAGCTTAGGACTATAAGATTTAAAATGAGAAGGGGCCTTGGATGTCACCTAGTTTCATTCTTTTATTTTACAGATGAGGAAACTGAGGCCCAGACTTGACCATGTTAAACTTCTCTACTTTAATATGTTAAGGATCTGTGATTTCACAGCTGTGGCCATTTCTTCTTCTAATGCAGGTCATATCCCCCCACCCCCACCCCCGAGACCTTACTTAGGTCTTTTTGACTTGTTGCAGCCAAAGAAATGCATCACCTCCAGAACTCTACCTTAGGCAGGAGGTGATTTCCTGTCCCTCCCAGTCAGTACTCAGTCTTCGCCTACTCTGCATGTGTCTTGTATGTGCCCCACTTCTCTATGGCAGTCTTGATCCACTATCCCTGGGTCTCATGGTCCTCCATCAGCTTTCCCTCACCCAACCCCCATCTTATATCCCCTAGGTCTCATTACTACCACTATGGTTCTCCTCCAAGGGCTAAAGGTTTGGAGGTTATTGTTACATGTTCTCTGGGGACAAGGGCCAGACTTTCTGGGTAACAGGGTAACCCCTCTCTTGACATGACTTTATCCCACTACAAAGGCTTATTTCTTGTGCCCTGTGTTAGAATGCTAGGTCTGGGGACCAATGGGAGAGGAGATACCCAGATACATCCTGGGAGATTCCCAGGATCTAACAGCAAAATCCAGGCACACCTATGCAGATGGGATCAAAAGCCCTTTTGGCATCCAGATAATCTTTCTCCAGCCTTGCCTTGTTCCTCCTAAGCCTTCTCAGCAGAGGTGTCTGCCCTCTGGGCCTTCTTTCCCAAGGTCCAAGTCTTCTTACCAGGTCTGATCCCTTCCCTCTCCCCCCCAAAAAAGAAGCCCTAAATTTGGCTTAGGCACCAAAATTGCCAGTTTCCAACTCAAATCCTATTCTAAAAGGCAATGGGTCTTTGCCTAGCTTGTGCCTCAGTTTCCCTCTGTTGATGTGGAGAGAATGACTCACCACTCAGTCATCAGTACCCAAGAAACCCACACCTCCACTCCCAGCTTCCCTCACACTGAGCCGGCCTTGCTCAGAGGAAAGGAGGGAAGAAAAGGGAGAATGTCTCACAGCTCACTCACCGGGGTTGATGCCTCTGGCTCAGAAGGGAGATGACTGTGCAGAAAGTCTGAAGTGGAGGAGATGGATGAGTCCAGGGAAAGGGAGGGGCTTCTGCAGCTGCCCTGTGGGGAGAGAGGGGCCGACTGCTGCCAAGGCACTGGCATTGAGCCCAGCACTTCAGGGACCCGAAATGGGTCAGCTCCCTCTCTGTCCTGGACAATGGCAGGGAAGGCATAGGGGGCAGAAACCTCTTCCTCGACCTTATCAAAAATAGTTTTTTTCGTTTTCACTCACTGGAAGGTGGGGTGGAGTTGGGGAGGGGGGAGGGGGGAGAGACCGAAAATACTCACATTTCATTGGCAGTGAGCATTCTGTCCCAACCTCCACACCTCAGAGATGGCCTTTACGAGCTGCTGTGTCCAGCCAAAGAAATTCACCACCTAGTGGCCAACTTTTTGGTGATGAAGCAGCTCACAAATAACGTGGCCAAGTGTATATCAGGGCTGGGGACATAGACACCCATACACTTATGGCCTCCCTATCTGGGTGGCCCTGGGCCTGGTGAATTAACCTCACTGAGCCTCAGTTTTCTCATCTGTAGGATGGAAGAGGGCCTGCATGTTCCTGCCTGATAATCCTCTAGTGCCCTTCCATTGTACCCTGGTTGGGACCATGGGAGTGTGTTCTTCTCTGGAAGACAATGATATAGCAGGTGTGGGTGATCAAGAAAGTCCTGATTTGATAGTCAAGTTACATCTGCAGAGAAAGTGGACATTTACCCTGGCTCCCTACCGAGGGACATGTTGGAATGATGCAAGGAGCTCCAGACTGGCTCCCAGTGAGTGGCTGGCAATTTCAAAAATTGATTGGAAACTGAGAGTTGGGAGTTGAGGGGGGGAGGATGGAAACTCTCATTAAGGACTGATGCATCCCCTCTGTAGAAGGAGATGAGGGAAAATGGATCTGCCCTTCTCTTTAGGACTCTTTTCTAGTCCTTTCTGTCCATTAGACTTCCAGAAAAGGTATGGGGATGCCCCATCATGGCAAGAGGAAGAAATTAGAACAGAAATGGTTTATGTGGCAAAGAGCAGACTGATGGTGCTGCCTGTCAATCTAAGTTTGATCTCTTGTTACCTAATAGCAAAGTGATGTGATGGATTTGAGATTCACAAGAAAATTATGCTAATTTGCATAATCTTAATTATATAATAAACATATAATATATAAATTGTATTAAATTCCATGTTGCATATAAATAAATTCATAATACAATAATAGTCAGTTTCAATGGAGAAAAAAGGAAACTTGATCTGAAAACAAAATCTGAAACTTGATTAGGAAGCAGGGAAGCGTAAGGGTAAGAAATGAGCAATATTAGATATAAATTGAAATGCTGAATCAATATAGAGAGAATACAATTATATTATTGGCAAGGATCAATCAAAGTTCATCAGTAAGCAGGGGAAAATAGAATTTTTAAAAGAAATGAAAGCTAGTTTACATTGGCATAGGATAGACTTGAAGCTAAATTAAAACAGTAAGAAACATATAAAGATGCTCTAGTCAATCAAAAAATGTTTAAATGCAACTCTCCATCCAGTGATACCAGCTCATCTGCAGCCCAGATGGACGGCTTTAATTGAAGATTCCCAAGCAACAGGAAAAAAACGCAACCAGCGACTTTTCACGCAGACAGGCACAGATTCAAGATCTTCATTTTCCCCCATCATCAGAATTTCCAGCAAAGTGAACTTTTAAAAAAGCCCAGGATTGGAGAAAGTGGCAACTCAAGTAAGAATAAGTATTTATTTATTTAGGAGTAAGAATAGGTATTTAGACCTTATTAAGGTAAGAGGAGAATAACAAACTAGCAGAAAGTTTGCTATGCCTGCAGAACTATGCACTCCTTGGAAAAATATTTCTATCCTCTGTGGGAAGATGGAGTTAGAGATTTCTCATGATTTCCAAGCTTAACATTATGAAAACTTAGTGTTCTTGTGGATTTGAGAAAGTAACAGGAATCCCCTAGTAATGCGGAGATTTGAGCAATTTAAAATTTGTATTTATATTGCATTTGAGAAATTAATCGGAGACAACCATTATTCACAACCCAGTTGATCTATGTTCTGGATAGTAATTGAGGACAGCATGCCTTTGCAGCTAGGAGATCACAAGAGGTAATTACTCTCTACTGGCTTTTGTATGTAACCAGTATGGAATGCCCAAACTGGCTGATGAATGGAATAATTTTTCATGTAGCTGACTTGGAGACACATTCAACTGGGTTAATGTTATTAGAATGGCAATAGGCTTTGTTTCATGGTCACAGATTGCTTTGTGTTGGGTGCCATGTTTATAAGTTTCTTGCATTATAATTTTGGAAATTGGTCTACAGAAGAACAGTTTATTTTTGGAATGATACCTAGTATGATGCATTTGTAACATTAGGAGGTTAGAATCTCTTCAATCTTAATTCTGTGACTGATTTATGAATTAGAGTCACTGCACAGTAGAGATAATTGTTTTGAAGACATAGTGTTCTTTCTCTTGCTAATGATTGTCCTGAGTGTTGAAATACATATACTCCTGGTTTGTCGAAGCATTAATTTGAGTTTAGTAAACAGTACAGCAGACATTGAAAAGCTGACAATCCTATTTGAGAACATAGTTTCAAAACAGTAAAGTTTTAAATCATTAGGAATATTTGAAATGTAATCAAAATGTGAAATAGATTTGTCTATACTATATTTCACGGCAGCTAGGTGGCGCAGTAGATAAAGTGCTGGGCCTGAAGTAGGGAAGACTCATCTTTCTGAGTTCAAATCTAGCCTCAGACACTTAATAGCTGTGTGACCCTGGACAAGTCACTTCACACTGGCTGCTTGAGTTTCCTCATTTGTAAAACGAAATGAAGAATGAAATTGCAAACCACTTCAGTTTCTCTGCCAAGCAAACGGGGTCACAAAGAGTCAGACCTGACTGAATGACAATGGCATACTGTTATTGTTTGTCCTTCATTCTGGAAGAGGCCCAATGACATCACGAGGGTGATGTCTTGACTTACAAGTGAACTGGATTTAAGTGAGGCAGAGCTATGCAGAGTCATCAGCCCCACTCTCTCCTCCAGAGCCATCAGGGTCCAGTGGCAAGACATAGGTCAAAATGAATAGCAATGGTGCCAACTATAGTGGGAGAGCCTGGCCTTTTCTCTTTCTTTCTTTCTTTCTTTCTTTCTTTCTTTCTTTCTTTCTTTCTTTCTTTCTTTCTTTCTTTCTTTCTTTCTTTCTTTCTTTCTTTCTTTTTTTTTTTTTTTTTGGTGAAGCAGTTGGGTTTAAGTGACTTGCCCAGGGTCACACAGCTAGTAAGTGTCAAGTGTCTGAGGCTGGATTTGAACTCAGGTCCTCCTGACTCCAAGGCCAGAGCTCTATTCACTGCACCACCTAGCTGCCCCCCTGGCCTTTGTTCAATGATAAATTTTGTGACTGTTCAATGAAAATCCAAACCGTGGTGCCATAGGCTGTTTGAATGAAGTCTGTCTTATCTTTTACATTGTTAAACTTCTATCAACTGATATTTATAATAGGGTCCAATTGCCTAAAGACCCCTTCTCATTGCTGTGGGATATTCCAACATGTGAAGCTCTGGGGAGGCCTCTCCCTGAGTGGATATGGACCTGTAACCAAGGAGACTGTTTCAGGAGAATGTATGAGTTAAATTAAAAATTCAGGCCACAAAGGACCTTTGCTTGGTTCCTTTGTTTTTTATAGATCGCACAAAGCCAGTCTAGAGGGATTCGAGATGAAGAAATCCTGCCTCAGGCACTTACTAGCTGTGTGACACTGGGCAAGTCATTTCACCCTATCAGCCTCAGTTTCTTCATCTGTCAAATGAGCTGCCATATCTTCATATATTTTTGGACACGGACCATGTAGGAATTTGTTTTGCTTGGCTATTCATATTTGTGACAAAGGTTTGCTTTTTCTTTTTTCCTTTAAATGGTGAGGTGGGAGGGAGAGAAAATAAGTACTTGTCGATTGAAAAAGAAAAAAAAAGTACAATTCTGGGCCATCCTGGGAATAGAAGGCAACAGAAACAGGAGATCTAGGCTGACTCCACAGCCAGTATCTGAAACCCTTCTTGTCACCCCTCAGGCAGAACGTTTGGGTCCTTGCTCTTCTACAAGGCTTGCTTTTGCCTTCTCCCGTGTACATAAGCATTGGTGGTCATTGGTGTTGCTACAGTTTTAAAAAACTGATCAAAATTTGTCTTGGATAGCTCAACAATATTCCTGAAGCTGCTTCACCTTTCAGACACATAAGGCTGGGAAAGCAGACCATTGCAAAAAGAGCAGTATACATGATGGCTTTTTCTTTTGTTATCGTACAAGTTGATTTTATTCAAATGACTAAATGCTACTAAACCACGGGGGCTGGTAAAGGAGTCCAGACGCTACTAGTATACCGGGAATTCCACCGATGCAATTCTGCACACTGAAGAAGCTGAAGGAGCCTGCCTCTGGGAGGGATGTGATGACATGCATTTGAAGCATTTTGGAGAGACTTTGGAGCATGAGGAGATTCTGTAGCTGGTTCTGGTCTACTAGCCATGTGGTGAATGGAAGCCTCTTTGATTGACTACAATTACTGAACCAGAATTAGAGAGATCTTCAAAGGCTATATTCAGTTTCCATTGAGAAAGATGCTGTTAAGGGAGAGGGCAATGGCTCTCTCTTCTAAGGCAGACAGACATATGGCCCCATGAAAAAGAGTCTCGTTCTTCTGTCCCAACGTTTGCTCTTTCCTTTTATTTCATCTGGCACCTACAACCTTGTGAGTCTGAAAAGGTCAAGAGAAAATGCTAGCTGGGAGTCTTGGCTTCCAGGAATCTGGGAGTCTAGAGAAGCTGGGGAGTCTGGGAGTCAAATCCATGCAGAGTTTTGTAGGCAGGCCAGCACTGAAGCACCAATGAGTGACCTTTGGGGATGCAGCCCAGTGGTAAGTGAGAGGAGGACTCATCCAGAAGAAGCGATGCTGCATTTAGATGAGAATGTGGTAGGATCAACAAGATGTGGAAATTGTGCTAAGTTTGAACCCACTCTCCCCAGAGACTGAGGTGGGATAGG